CAACCAAGGTTCTCATGTTGAATACATAGCCAGGGTTCTCATGTTGAATACATAGCCAGGGTTCTAATGTTGAATACACAACCAGGGTTCTCATGTTGATTACATAGCCCGGGTTCTTATCTTAAATGCATAGCCAGGGTTCTCATGTTAAAAGTCAGGGCTCTCATATTAGATATGTAGCCAGGATTCCCAAGTTGAGTACATAGCCAGGGGTCTTATGTTGAGTACATAGCCAGGGTTCTGTAAAACCCTATGTTAAGTCATTTTCCTCTAGCCAATAAACATTATTTAGTCTTGCTCAATCCCCCCCTCACATTATATAGTCTTGCTCAATCCCCCTCACATTAAGTAGTCTTCCTCTAACTCTTCACGTTAAGTATTCTTCCTCTAACCCCCCACCCCCAGGTCAAGTAGTCTTCATTTAGCCTCTCATGTTAAGTATGTTAAGAGTGTTATTGTTCTGGTTACAGAGTTATACTTGGTGATGATGGGATTGAGGTAATTTGCAATGGATGAACCTCATGCACAGATACCGTATGTAAGATAGGGATAGATTAGCAAGTAGTATAATGAGAGGAGAGTTGAGGGAAACATTATATCTGATTTTAGGGAGGGCTCCCTGGGACTATTGGACTGATATTACTACTGGGCTTCAGTTTTATAGAGTTGTAATGTCTACCGGGGATCACTAGCTGGAACATGGTCCCCTCAAAGAGGCGAAGGAAGAAATGGTCTATGAAAATCTTATGTATAAAAGTATTCACGTCTGCCATCGACCGGGGTTGAGCACCTAGAAAGGTAGGCGCTTCAAAACAGACCCTTCCTGGTACAAATATTGCATCCTAAGACCGAACAGAGGCTAGAAACTTCCCCAAAGAAAAAAATCTAATAAGCAACACGTCATCACACCGAGAGCCGCTCGTTCGGGCCACAAACCCGGGAGAGGGAGATGGGACCTGGCCCACCGAGCCGGCAGCCGAACCGTCTGTTTGGAGGATGAAGCTATACTGGGTGGATGCCTAATCTGGCCTCGGTTACCTGCTTGGCTTCACCCTGCTGGTGTTACTTCTGTGTGTTGCCGGTGGCAAGGAGTTTGTACCAAGGGCTGCATGCGCTTAGGGTTCCCTTCCCTAGTCGCCCTGTAAGTACGCCCTTGGAATTCAGAGTTCCCTTCTCCGGGACCTTTGGGTCCCCATTCCCATAGGGTATGCTTGATTGCTACCTAATCCTTGGGGTCACCTTGGATCCCGGTACTTTCGTTTGACCCTGGGTAGGGAGTGGTTGTTTGCTGGTTGAGACACACTGGGCGGCCCAGTTTGCATAATTCCATGATTCTTTCTGGTCCCCCCGTGTTGAGGTGCTTCCTCGGAGTTTTTTCGTTCTTTCTTTAATTTGTTTTTTTGCCCGTACCTTCTCTGGACCTCCTGGGTTGCTCACTTCACAGGGGCCAGTTTGCTCAGATATGTTACGGGGATACAACTGGCTTTGGCGGTCCAGCGCCTGGGTTTCCCGAAGGAACATAAACCCCTGTGGGCCCTGGGAAACCCCGTCGGGGATTAGTTAACCGTGATGCACGAGTCTTCAGAGTCCCGTCTCGCCTTGTGCGAGTTCGAGGTTTGCTCGTTGGCCTTGTCTCAGGGTGACGATCACCTGTACTGCCTCTGTCATGCTGCTTGTTGGGACGACAACATCTTTGACCCGGAGTCTTGTGAGACTTGTTCTCTTCTCGTACTCCAATTAATCCATGCTATAGCTGAGGTTAGAGATCAAGCGGGTCGCGCATTGCATGCTAGGTTTAGGTTGCTGTAATGTGCATGGTTGGTTACCCTGTCAAGTGCCCCATTTTGGTTATAGGGACTCGGACTTGGGGGCGCTGGTCACTTCGACCTTGGTTCCATCCGTGCCCCTTTGTCCTCCCTTTGTTGGTGTGGTTAACCATTTTCCCAACCCGTTCTCGCACTTGCTTACAATCAATATTGGCTTATTTAATAAGTGCATATGTGACATAATAATTGATTGTGAATATTTTAGTTTACCTTGAAAAGCTTCATAGAAAGCACCGACCTCACCTAACCTGCTTAGTATGTTAAGATAAGCATCTCATTGCTTCTTATTTACAATTATTACTTATCCTATCAACGGTATAGGTTAAGTAATAATTGTAATTAAGAAGCAATAAGATGCTTATCTTAACATACTAAGAAGGTTAGGTGAGGTCGGTGTTTTCTATGAAGCTTTTCAAGGTAAACTAAAATATTTACAATCAATTAGTATGTCACATATGCACTTATTAAATAAGCCAAAATTGACTATAAGCAAGTGCGAGAACGGGTTGATTTTCCATCCCCTTTGCTTCCAGCTCTCAAACATCTGAGGATTTCAGAGTCGGGGCAGAGTTTAGCTGGGGATGAGAATTGGGTGGCTCCAGGGGTTGCCCCATTAGAGTCGGGGATTGAGGCATTTGAACTGGTTCCTCCCACCAAGGCTCCTTGGTCCTTCAAGCAAGTAGCTTTCTTGGATGCTTTTCCCTTGGACTCTGCCTTTTCTTCAAGGGTAGAGGGCATTGGGGATGGCTTTGTCCCGGGTGTTAATTGGGTGGATTCCGGGGCTGAGGGAGAGAGGCAGGCTGGGGCGCTTGGGCCTCTTTTGACCCTGCCTGATCTACACATTCGCGGACATTTGACTTCGGTCCTTTGCTTCTTTTCCCTTTTCGTGCGGTCCTCAGACTGGCTTGTTGAGGATGTAGAGGTAATGGCTGCCAGGTCGTCATCTACGTTGACTTCAGCGGCGTTGCTTAAGTTGTTTGCGCCTATCCTCGAGGAGGCAGTGTCCTTGTTTTATGCCTCTCCCCTCGCTTATCGAAAGGCTGTCCACGCCCTCTCTGTGGATTCTGCGTGGGGCCCTGGCTCTTAGGTTCTTGTCTCCCTTTTGTCCTCTGCTGTTTCGGAATTGGTTGTGTGTCAGTTTCTCCAGGCAGCTTTGGATATGTTGGTTGTCCAGGGTGCGCGTTCACGTGCTTCCCGGAAGGGTCGTGCCAGGGCTTCGGCATCTGCTGGTCGTGGTGGGCCTTTGGTGCCAGTTTCTGAACCTGAGTCTGTTCCCGACCCGCCTTCATCTGGTCGGCGCAATGTTCACTCTACACACGTCGGGTTCTCAGAAGGATCGACTGCCCTTTTGCAGGTCGCCCCACTGATGCCCTCCCCTCAGTTGGGGGGAAGGCCAGACTGTGACTGGCTTTTTCCCACGCTTGGTCCCACAATTTGTGGGCGTTTCAGGTCGTGTCTTCTGGCTTGCGATGGCATTGGGTTGCTCCTCCCACTCTGGGGGGTCCGGGGCAGGTTTCTTTCCCTTCACCTCGTCGGGTCATCCTGGAGTGGGTGCACTTGGGCGTGGTCATAATGACCTCGTCCATCAGGTTGGTTTCCCGCCTGTGTCCAGTGTAGTAACGGCACTGTGCGGATCTGAGTCATTCTGGTCTTGTCCTGTCTGAATTCCTGGATTCATTTCCTCTCCTTTTGGGATAAGTAGTCTGTCACAGGTCCAGCTTCTCTTGGTGTCGGGTTCTTGGATGGTGTCTCTAGACCTCCAGGACGCGTATTTGCACGTCCCTATTCATCCGGGGTTCAGGTACTGATTAGGTTTCGTGGTGGCGGCAAGCTTACCGCTTTCGTTGCCTTCCCTTCGGGCTGAATCTGGCACCTCGTGTTTTCACGCATCTTACCCGGGTCGTGGTGGTTTGTCTGTCTCTTAAGTGTTCGGGTGTTGGCCTACCTCGACGATTGGTTGGTTTGGGCTCCCAGCAGGTTCAGCTGTTGCTTCGGGCTCTAGCTCAGCTCGAGTCCTATTGAGGAAGGGTTCTCCTTCTGGCCCCCAGCCTTGGTTTCATGCGGTGTTCTTTCCCTGTGTAAGTTGTATTCGGTCTCGGATCGTGTTTTCTTTCTTTGCTCTTTTAGGACACGCATCCGAATACTGATGCCTAATATTGTGCGGCGCTTGCGGAGTCACTCAAACTTGCGTCTGGGGGTGGATGCCACTTCGTCCGCAGGGTTATTAAGTCAAGCCAGTCTGCAGTCTTACCTCGCACCCTTGATGTTCGTAAATTTACAGCTTCGGCTGTTGATGTTGACAATATGTCTTGGGCGGATATTCGGGCACAGGGGTTTTGGATATCGAATAGGGTCCTGACTGCACGTTACCTCGTTAATGTATCGGCCCTCAGCGGTCTTGTGTCGCCTTGGGTCGGCGGTTGCATCCAGTTTTCTCATCTTCGTGATGGGTTGTGTGGTGCAGCCGCCTTCCGGGTAAGTCTCTTTATTATTTCTCTTTGGGTAGTTAGCTCCAGGGAGCAGACGGGGCTTCCCCACAGAAAACCAGCTTTGAATGTAATGAAACGCCATTTTCTGGATAGAGCCCTCGAGGCTTACTCTGTGGCACCCTTCCCCCTGTCAGCGGGTTTTGGTTCCGTTTTCTGCCTTCAAACTGATTTTCCGGCTGCCGGCTCAGTGGGCCAGGACCCCTCTTTCCCTCTCGCGGGGGGGGGGGGGGGGGGGGGTCGACACGAATGAGCAGCGTCCGATGTGATGACATGTTGCTTGCTAGATTTTTTTTCCCCTTTGGGGGGAGTTTAAAGCCTCAGGTCGGTCATAGGTTGCAATATTTCTATGAGGAGGTGTTTATTTTGAAGCGCCTACCTTACAGGGTGCTCAACCCCGGTTGATGGCAGATCTCAGTGCTTTTATACATAAGAGTTGCGTAAGCCATTGCTCCCTTTGCCTCTATGAGGGGATCATGTTCAGGCTAGAAGTTCCTGGTAAGCATGACAACTCCATAAATCTGAAGCCCAGTACTAATATTAGCTAATATCAGTCCAATAGCTCTAAGGAGCCTCTGGGGCTCTACTCAGAAAATAGTGTTTCATTACATTCAACGCTGGTTTGTTAGCTTTCACCTTATAAAACAGTATACTAATGCTGTATTCCATGTGATATCTGCACCAACAGAGAGCCTTCAGTTCCAGGCGTCGTATACTACAACAGTTCCTCCTACTTCAAAGCACCTTCAGAAGCCACGTCTCAGGAAGAGCTTGGGTATGAAATCAAACACAAGTACAAGATCTTTAACAGGAATAAATTTTCTATCTATGAGACAGAATTTACTTTAATGTGGCCACTCAAAATTGATGGTAAGAACAAATTTATTGAATCAGACAAAATATGCAAATGTGTAATTTGTTCCCTTAACTTTGCTAATACTTCTTTTTACTATTTTTTAATTAAATAATTGAGTAACATTCAATTGATTGTTTGCTTCTGCACAATATTTTTGAAGTATCAAGTATGGCCTTAAATAATTTTTCTGAAAGAGCCAAATTGTGGCTTCCTGAAGCTATCTACACTGAGGTAGCTCCACACACATGAGTCACATCAGCCCCTGGAGTCCTTAATAACCTACCATAGACCAGAGTCAGAATCTGGCCCCGTCACAGAGGCACGGGTAGTAGGGGGCTTGAAGGTGACCCTCACCTATGGAAACATCCAGAAAGTAAGTGTAACAAAACAGACAACTGCAAGTTTCACAGAAAATAAAGGAATTAAGCAGCAAACAATCCACCCAGTAGTTAGTTCGAACCCCCCTCCCCTCCCACAATTACAATTGGCCATCACTAGGTGGTACCACCAGCAGGAGCTACCATCTCCCTATATTAACAATCCTCAGTTCTTCATCTGATGTCCAATTGTTTGGACCACTCCTTGAGTCACCAGTCTTTCAAGTTCCAACTATTTCCTAGATAAATATTGGTGATCCTTTGGACTCTTCTTCTTCTTCTTGAGAATAGGTGCAGTTTGCATGAAGGGTTTACCCTTCATTGACTGCACCAGGACAGATGTCGGGAGATGCATTGACGTTGAGGAGGAGAAGAAAGTCAAAAGTGTTATATCTGTCGGGCCATAGAGAGAGGAGTGGCGACGAAAACAGAGGCGGACGTTAGAGGGAGACTCGCTGCACCGTAGGGTGGGATGTCAAGTTCACGGCGGCAGCTGATCCACGCACGGCGTAGCGGTGTGTGCAAGACGTCAACTAATATTTCTCCGGAAACTTGTATATCGGAAACTGCAAACAGTACGCATCACAAATCACCCACGTGTCAGGGGACACCCGACCACCAGGCGGTGCCTTCGCCTGAGACATCTTATCCGGCACCCTATAAACAAACTCCTTCACCCGCGACACCCAGACAGTGGATGAGCACCACGGGATCGGAAGCACCCGGGCACCCCGATAAGGGCCCAGCACCGGACCCTCACAGGGCACGACCCCAGCAGTCGGGACGAGGTTTCCCCCAGACCGGGGCAACGAAGGAGGGGGAACCGCAGGGGATGCAGGCACGGCATCGACCACAACATTGGGCACAGGAGCCGAGGCCCCTCGGTGCACATCTTTCCGCAACTCCACGTCGAGGTCCCGATCATCAGGGGCAATCTCCCACTGCGGGGATCCAATAGCAGGAAACGCAAGAGGGGGGGGGGGGGCACAGGCAGCAACTTCGGAGCCCCACAAAGCACCAACATCCACGGCGGGGGACGCCAGAGCACCATACTCCCCCACCAACTCCCAAGGCACACCACGAAGGGGAGACACACTCCGAGCCTGCCGCGAACGCTTCGAGACAGGCCGCACCACACCAACCCCAGCAGGCCCCTCCGCAGGCACGACCACCATCTTCACATCCACACAGGCCACACCCGCACCGTCTGAAGAGCCCACAGAGGCCACATCGCCCACACTGTCCACATCATCCCGAGAAACAGGCTCAGAATACTGACGTGCCCGCTTCTGCAAAGGGATGGAAAGAGCAGAACTACAGTCGCGAACACACACAGGCACGACACGCACCTCTCCCTGCCGAAGCCGCCCCTCCAAAACAGCAGAACCCGCGTCCCTGGGAGCCGGTACCACATCCACAGGCGGGGGTGGGACATAAACCTCCACCGGGACATCCCGCACTACTCGCAGCGCAGGCAACGGCCCGACACCCACACACACCGGCTCAACAACCCCAGGGGCCACAGAAGGTACCAGATGTGTTGCACAGGCCGTAGAACTCGCCTCAGCAGGCGGAGCAGCAGACAGGCAATAAGGTGCCTCAGGCACAGCACCCACTCCATCCTCAGAACCGTCCAAATGCAACAGGGGCGGAAAATCCTCCGCACGAAAAACATGCACCCTACCCGTCGCTCCCACGTCGCACGCTGCAGCCAGATGACCCTCGTGACCACACCGATAACAGGTGCGCGGTTGACCTCGATACAGGCAGCGGAGCGTGTAACCCAACACGGACATCGACGACGGTACACTACACTTCAGCGACATCGTCAGGATGCGGGAGCCGTCAAGCATACCAACACAGTGCCCGGCAAGGACCTTGTTCCAACAAATACTTAACACTGTCCCAAATCCTTCAAAACAGGAGGTTAAAAAGTCGTCGTTAAATTCGAAGGGGGCACCATGCACCGCCACAGACATCAAGGTGACACTAAGATTCACCACCTTAACAGAACCAGCAGTATCAGGGAGAAGGTAAACACGCCCCTCACATCGCTCAAGAAACGCCTGAAAGGCAGCCTGGAGGCGGAACTTGACCACAGCACGGTTGCCCTGAAGCAGCTGGACGCCCACCAGGTCCGACAGCTGCACATGTAGCATGTCCACCAGGGCGACACCAACCAACGAATGGTCCACCGGCACCATAAATGCCAGACCAGCCGACAATGTCCTTTTCACTGGAGGGTGAGAAGTCCCCATGGCTAAGTCAAACGTCACCCTGTCAGTGGCACACCACCAGCAGCAGGGCAAACCAGCAATCACCTAACGTAAACACTAGCCAGGAGTGGAGAGAACTCAGGAACGTCCGACCTGGCCGGTAGTCACCACGCAACTCCTTTGGACTCTATCCTGTGTTTGAAATATTTGCTTGTATATCATTTCAAATTTAGTGTTAGTTTCACATGAATGTGTTTGCAAGATTCACGCATTTTGTGGCATCAGCTCTCGAAGAGAACTCTCCAAGACGTGATCATCTCAAGTGCCTGGGTGTTTTGCTTCGTTCTTATCTTCAGGCCCTGGGCAAGCCCTGTGAGCCTGTAGTAGGGATCATTATGGATTGACTCACAGAGCCTACGCTCACTACTTGAGAGTTCAAAGGATGGCCACTGACATTGCTACACGTCGATGATTATTCACTGTCTCTACCATGCTGCCTGTTAGGTGGATAATACCTTCAATCCTGAGGCCTGGGACATTTGTGTTCATTGGGTCTCGATTCAAGCAGAGCCTTCTAGACAAGAGGTTAATCAGGCAGCAGCCACTTAACGGGTTTGTTTCTCCTGTATTCGTTACCAGCAGTACCCGGCCACGCGTTGCTGTGGCTCAGCAACGCATGTGCATTTGCTGAGCCACAGCAACCTTCCCAGTCTCCCCTGCAGTCCTCCCCATCAATCACCCGTCTCCTCGGCCTCACAACCATTCCCCCACTCCACCATCCCCCTCTTCCTTCCCACCATTCCCGCACTCCACCATCCCCTCTTCCTTCCCACCATGCCCCACTCCCCTGTCTCTTTGTCCTCCCCACCATGCCCCACTCCCTTTGTCATTCCCACCATTCTCCATTCCCCCATCCCCTTGACCCCTCTCCCCAAATCCCAAACTCCCCCATCACCTCATCCTTCCTCACCATTTCCCCCTCTCTTGTCCCCTCGTCCTCTGCACCATCTCTCACTTCCGTCCCCTCATCATCCCAACCATTCCCCACTCCCTCGTCCGATGCCTTCCCAAATGGTCTGATGTTCCCATCAGAAAATTGGGAACATCAAGTGATCTGATACTCTTTTCACTGTAATATAAGAAAAAGTTAAAAAATGAAATGAAAATATGAAAACAATATAAAAATAAACTATTCTCACGAAATGAACGGTGTGGAAAATAACACAGCTCAATTCCAACACAATTCACACAAAATATTTAAATCAAAATGAACATAAATCAAAATCTAGGAAAATTCAAATTATCAATGCAATCAGAAACATTGAAATGGAATTGTAACATATCTAGTATAACATGTGTGTTGCTCCTACATGCAACAGATGGCGCTGTTTTTTAAGAAATGCATAGTTTTACCTGTCACAGGTGTGGCATCTATACTTATACTTACGAAATGAATGGTATGGTAAACAATACAGCTCAATTCCAACACAATGTCACACAAAATAATTCACTAAAAAATAAAATAAATCGAAATCTATGAAAATAAAATTTATCAATGCAATGAGAAATATTGAAATGGAATTCGTGACATATTTAGTATAGCGTGCATGTTGCCATTATGTGCAACAGATGGCACTGTTGTTAAAAAACGCATGTTTTTACCTGTCACAGGGGGTGGCATCTATATAGTAAGCATATAAAAAGATGTGCCTATTCGAATGCAACGTTGTGTCAAAATTTCAAAGCAATTGGTGAAGAACTTTCGAAGATTACAGCGTGTTGCCCTTATGTCCAACAGATGGCGCTTGTTTTCAAAAATAGCATGTTTTTTCCTGTCACAGGTGAGGCATGTATACAGAAAATATATAAAAATACGCGCCTATTCGAATGCAACGTTGTGTCAAAATTTTAAAGGCATCGGTAAAGAGGTTTCCAAGATTTCCCTCACATGAAAAACACAAAAAACACAGTATTTCAGAAAAAATCATGTTTTTTTTACCGTCACAGACGTGACATCTATATAGTATGTATATAAAAACCTGCTTGGAGGTGAATGGAGCGTTTTGTGAAAATTTCAAAGCAATGGTGAAGTACTTTCGGAGATTAGCGATTTTGAACAAATGAACATTTACATTTTAATTTATATAGATTTATGGCTTGCGTGGATACCCTGAGGTTGGCCCATATGGTGTTAGTGGATTCAGAGTTGCAGTGGCTTGTTAATTCCACCTTAATTATTTATTTATTTATTTATTTATATACAAGACGGTACAATGGGTTTATGAGAGTACTTAACACTGATGTTTATACATTCTTGTAAAACCACTAACATGCATAGCTTTTCGGGCAGGTCTTTAACCTAACAGATAATTTTAAGTAGGTAATTTGTAGCAAAAGGGAAAAAAGTTAACAGGTACATTGTAGGATAATTTGAAGAAAATTAGTAGGTACATTTTAGTAAAATTTGAGGATTCTCGTCAGGTACATTGTAGCATAATTTGACTATTATTACTTGGTACATTGTAGTAAAAGTTGCGTTCAACATAACAACGATGATATAAGATGATGGCAGTCATTGCAAGGGTAAAGTTATATGATTTGAACATATTTTGGAGTAGCATATGATACAATGCGAGTGTGAAGCACTAGGTAAAAAACTATGAGGATGAAATTAGGTACTCACTGTGGAGAACAACTTCGGCTTCCCCAGAGCTATACCGGGCTGATGTGTATATATTAGACCGTGGCAACAGTCAATCGATGGAGTTCTAGACCTACCGGGGACTAGCGCCGGAACTTGGCCCCTCAGAGAGGCACGAGGAACAATGGCCTATAGACACCGTGTAATTAGAAGCAGTCTATGCCTATCTACTAGGTTAGGCACCCAGAAAGGTAGGAATTTCAAAAGAAACTACAGCTGGTTAAAAATTGCAAACCGAAAGCCGAACTCCCCAATCGAAAACAAGCATGACGTCACCACAGCCGCCACGTTGCTATCTGTGCAACTCCATCCCCCCCCCCCACCCTTGCCGGGGGATAGGGGGTCCCAGACATCCCGCGCCGGCTACCCAACACCAGTTCAGAGGCTATTGTGTTTGGTGCAATCGATTGACTGGCTCCAACCTTTTGAGCAGTGCTGTCCATAGTGGTGGTGGTGTTCTGTGTGGTGATGTGGTCGAAACGACAGCGTTCCTCAGATGGGTTTCTCACCTGTTTCCAGTTCCGAACCAGGACTGTGCCGAGCTGCTTTTCATTCTAGACTTGTCTCATCTGAACCCCTGTGTCTTTTGCCCCTCCCTTCAGAAGACCACTCTGTCCCAGGTCTGGCTGCTTTTGGAGCCAGGTGCCTAGATGGTGTCCCTGGATCTCCAGGACACATATTGGCACGTCCTGAGTCATCATGGGTTCAGGGACTGGCTCAGTTTTGTCGTTGAGCGACAGGCTTATCGCTTTCATAGCTTTCCGTGTTCGATGTGTTCATGGATGCCACATCTCTCGGCTGGGGATTTGTGATTAGAGCTCACCAGGCCTGCCAGGATCGGTGGGTTCCGTCCTTCCGCAAGGCTCACAGCGAGGCACGGGAGTTCGCGGCAGTGTGGCATTTTCTTCAGAGGGTTCAAATCCTTTGCAGATCGACAGTGCAGCCCCATTCAGACTGCTCAACTGTGGTTCGTTGTCTGAACCGTGGTGGTTCGATGCAGTCCTTGGCTCTTTGAGGCTGGTCGCTTCTTATGACTCATCTGCTCAGTTCTCGGGACTTAGCTCTCCTAGCACCAAGCCATATAGTCGTAATGGTTTGGCGCTTTCTCCTGATAGTTCCCTCCTGGCGGTTCATGTTCAGGGAGTGCCCAATGTACTGGCAGACGGCCTGACCCGTTTCATGCCCCTGTCCACGGAATGGACGGTCTACGCAAATTCGTTCCGTTGGTTCTGCCGAACATTCGGGCGCCCGAACGTGGACCTCTTCGCGTCGGCTTGGTCGATGCGTCTTCAGGTATATGCGGCATCCTTCCTCAACTGGTTGATGCTTTAACACTGGACAGGTCGTGGTGGGATTTCATGTATCTTTTTCCACCAGTTCGGTTCTTGCTCTAAATCCTGGTTCGTTTGGAGACTTACCAGGGGAGGGTAGTCCTGTTGGCCTCTTGGTGGCCGGCCCAGTCCTAGTGTCAGGCACTACTTGCTCGGTGTCCGAACCCGAGGGTTTTCCCACGGCTCCGCCTCTTTCAGCAGATTGGCCCAGTCTGGTAAGTGGCTGGTTCGATATTCTCCTATGCTCTTCGCGTCTGGACTTTTTGACACAGGTTTATCACCACGTGTATGGTGATCAGGAGGCTTCGTTGATGGTGTCCCACCTGCGAGTTTCGTCTCGACGACTGTATAAAGTTTCCTGGCGGTCCTTTCGGCACTTTTTGTCTCTTCATAGGTTGCTTCGATTTCCGATCATGTTGTTTTGTCCTTTCTCTCTTGGTTGTTTCAGGACCATCATCTTATGCCGAAAACTGTTGCCTCTTATTGTTCGGCGCTGGCAGAGATGTTTCTGCTTGCTTTCGTGGTGGATGTCACTTCGGCTCTGTTCCTCAAGCTTTCTCAAGTGTTGTTTAACCTCCTGTCTGCTCATGAGCCGCCTGAGCCAGCCTGGTCTATAGACTGGGTGCTCTCTTTTCTCTCTTCTTTTCTTCTCTTCTATACACCAACAACAGTCCTCAATAAAGTAAAGGTATAGTAAAAATATTCTGTATAAAATGTATCTCTATGTTAATATTTCTGTTTTTGTGGAACAGATTAATTAAATTTACATTATTTCTTATAGAAAAATTCGTTTTTGTTTACGAAGTTTTGGTGTACGAACCATCTCTTGGAATGGATTAAATTCGTAACCCAAGGTGCCTCTCTTTAATACTATCAGTTTGGATAGATTTAGGTAGCCACCGAGGCTAACCCAGAAACAGGCGTTTCATTACATTTAATGCTGGTCTTTTGTTTTTGGTCATATGACACTATAAAATGGGTACATTTCCAATTTTAATTATCTGCAATCATGGTAAATTTTCCATACCAATAATACTGTAGAAAAATATTATATTTATCTGTATTATTAATTAACATAATTTTATGAGGATTTTGGTAAATGTGTTTGTTGCTTTGGGTTATAATTCACCATAAAATGAGTAAATCAGGGAAATCATTGTGTCAGGCAAGAAAGACTATCAGGCTTGAAAGGATGTCAGTTCAGACTAGTAAGACATACTGTCAGGCAAAACAAGATGTAAAGCTAGACAGGCTATTAGGCTATCAGGCTTGATAGGCTGGACAGGCTAGACAGTGTCAGGCTAGACAGGCTGCACATACTGCCAGGGTTGACAGACAGGCATCCATATTAAGTTCTGGAGGTGGATGGATGGTGATCACATATTTTCATCATGTTCAATTTAATCCCCACCCTTCTTCCCCTGCACCCACTCAACCCATATGAGTGTTTAATACATGCTATAGGACAATGTAACATCATGTTCCTTAAGAAGTATCAGGTAACTGAATGTCAATCTGCAAGAAGTGAGGCCATCCCTCCACCATCCAGTCCAAGTGGTTGGGCACCATTTCTCTGTCCTATCCTAAATCCTTATAAGTACTAGACATATTGGCTTAGCACTTTATCCTGATAATTACCTTACCTTATCTACTAATTTAGGACAATTTAATATTATTATGTCTTCTATTATTTTACCAATTTATTCGATTCAAAATATTTATGCAAAGATCTTGCATATCTTTAGTAAAATCTGTGGCAGCTCTTATAATAATCTGAATATATTTCCCACCAGGAAAGTATCTCCTTTACCCCATGGAGTACCCAATCATCACAGGAAGCAGGCCTGGTCACTGTGTCTATACAGGTGACAAAATTAATCCTTACAATTTACTCGGAAATTCATCCACTAAAGGTTATGAGGAATATATAGATACGAAAACTCTTGCAAAATCAGGCAGGTAAGTGATGCTTCAAAATTTATTTAGGGAACCAGTTGCTGTATTTCAGAAAAAAATAATTAATAACGATGATGATCATACATCTGACACTGTAGCAATCTTTTCCCGGTAAAGTAGGTCTATCATACCCAGGTAGGCCTAGTGCATTCATACGAATTCCAGCATCTTTGTCTATATCACGAGGCCACATTCTGAGATGTCGCAAAAGTGTTAAATCAGTCTAACATGATAAGCTAGGAAGGATTTTCAATCCTGTTTCTATAAATACTAAATCAAAACTGGCTAAGAGCAAAATAAGTCTTGATGGCATGTTTCCCTTTGTCAGAACCTCACACTACATAGACAGTGATACCTCGGTACTCGAACTTAATTCGTTCCAGAAGGATGTTAAGTGCCTTTCTGTTCAAGTATCGAATAATTTTTCCCATAAGGAATAATGTAAATTGGATTAATCCATTCCTGACTCCCAAAAATACACCTATAAAACCAAACTATAAAACTACGGGAAGTCCCTATGGCTCCCTAGAGCAATCAAACCAATGTGTGAAATATATGAACGGGGCACTATTCTATGGAATTCGACCTACCAGGGACCACGAGCCAAAACCTGGCCCCTTCAGAGAGGTTGCAGGAAGCAATGGCCCTTGAAAACGCTCCTTTGGTTGGAAGTTTCCTTATCTGCCATTGACCGGAGTTAGGCACCCAGAAAGTTAGGCATAACGACAACAAACCCCACATGGTAAGAAAATAACAACTAAAAACCGAAAAGAGAGATAGAACTACCAAGGAAATACCAATACCAAGGAAACGTCACATTCCACTACCATGCCACTCGTCTACGCAGCCCTCCCCTCCACTCCCTGAGAAGGGGGAGGGGTGGATCCCCTGACCTCGCCATCCCGGCTACCTAGCACTTCAGCTTGCTAGCTAATGGGGTCCGGGGCGGACGTCTTCTCTGGCCTAGAATTCCAAGGCGGTGTTTTGCCTTCGTGGCGACCTCTGCTGTTGTTGTGTGTGGTGGCCAGGTGTTCCTCATCAGTGCCGGACCTGCATGCACTTAGGGGCTTTCTTTCCTAGGTGCCCTATGAGTACTGCCCTTGCATGTTAGGGTTCCCTTCCCTGGAGCGTTTGGAATAACCATTTCCGTGGGGGTTCTTGCTGATCGGCATTTAGGGGACACTGGGTAGGATATTAAAAGTTGTTCTAGTGCAATCAATATTTATTGACGTTTTATATGTAAAAAGGGTTGCAACTGGTCCAAGTTTCAGCATCGCAGCCTAAATGGAAAGGGAGGAAAAAAATTACGTATTTTAGACGATTTTTCAACATTTTTCAGCGTGTTACTACAAACACAAGTGTCAAGAGAAATCATTTCTATGACACTCAGATATCACATTAGCATACAATAAAGGTTTTGTTGCCAGATTTCTATCCCAAATGTATTTAGTGCAAAAATACAAATTTTCAGTTTCCCTAAAAAATTGTGCAACAAAATGTTTATAAATATTTATAAAATCAATAAATGGACTTAGGAAAACAGTGTGGCACTAGTTTTTAGGAGGCATAAACTCTACATATAATGTCCAAATTTCATGTAAACTGAATAAAAATTAAAGAGTAGAGATAACGTTAATATTACTTAAAAATAAATACGTAAAAAATAATGTCTAAGGTTCTGCCATCTGTGGCTGAGATTGACATCAACCAATTTCTTCTAAAATTGGCACCCTTACAGATAGGCTTACGTGCAGTCTAGTTTATAAGTTTCATGCAAATTGTCCGATAAACAAATAAGAAAAAATGAAAAACAAAATTAGATTTTTTTGAGGATAAAACTAATTATTAATATTTTATCAAATGCTATTGTGATAGCTGAGAGTCATAGACATCATTTCAGTTGACACTTGTGTTTGATGTTAATTTTTTACCATTTTTGATTTTTTTTTTACACTTCAATATTTTTTTCTCCCTATTTATGCTACGAAGCTGAGACTTTGACCAGATGAAACCCTTTTCATATACAACTACTCAAGAAAGTTTGATTGAAATTGAACTAGTTTTCATTTATTGCATATTTTGGGCATATTTGGATCCCGTGCCCCCTTTAACCCACACTTTGGGGCCAACTGGGGTTTCGTGGCCCTTGTTTGGCCTTGGGTAGGGAGTGGTATCATTTTGGTTTGGGCGTCAAGGTGTTGTGCTTCCTACCTACCTACGTGGGACCCGGTTCCTGTTTCCTCTGGAGACGTTTGTACTCTTTTCATTTGTTTTCTTTTTGCCTGGTTGAGGGGGTCTGCCTGGTGTGGTTTCATTCCACCTATAATGTTTTGATGGCCCTCTGTTAGGCCACTGCGATTATACACTTTGCAGTAGTATCAGTGTTTTGATCTCCCCCTTGTTAGCTTTAGGTCTAAACCGGTTAGCAACACCTTATCCAGGCTTCCCGTAGCCTAAATAGCCCAGTCAGCCTACGGGCTCTGGAAAACCCTGTCAGGGCTCGGTGGACCAATGGATGTGAATTCAGAGTCCCAGCCCACCATGTGCGGGTTCGAAGGTTGCTGTGTGCCTTTATCTCAGGGGTGACAATCGCCTCTTTTCCTCCGTCATGCTGCCTGTTGGGTCAATAACACCCTTGACCCGGAATCCTGCAAGTTGTGTTCTCTGCTTGTTCTCCAGTACTATTCTGATGACAATACTGTTAGGGTACAGACCGCATCCATATTGCATGCTAGGTTTAGGTTGCTGCAATGCGCTAGGTAGGTTTCCAACCTGGATGCCCCATAGCTGTCCCACATTGAATATAGGGACCCGGACTTGAGGGCGTTAGTTGCCTCGACTTTGGTTCAGTCCGCACTCCCTGGTCCTTCTCCTGTTGTTCATCCTGCACCTTTCCCCCCCCCCCCCTCTGCTTCCGGCTCCCAACCGACTGAGGGTTTCGGAGTCGGAGCAGGGTGTAGTTGGTAATGAGACTCGAGCAGTTTCGGGGGCTGACCCATTCGGGTCTGGGACAGAGGCATTCGAGCCTGCTCCTCCTGCCGAGAATTCTGGGTCTTGCCAGTGGATCCCCTTCTTCTGTGCTTTTACCCTGGTCATCAGTCTGACTCCAAGCCTGTCCAGGGCTCGACCCCGGGTCCTTGGGGTGAGGTTTCCGGGGCGGATGAGGGGTTGAATTGCAAGCATTGGGCCCCGTTGGACCCCTCTTGAGTTTTTATACCCTCGGAGAGTGGCTTGATGTTACAAGGACTGGAGTTCTCTTATTCTCCCTTCTTGTACGAATTGGATTTGGCGTCTACACCTCCCCGGGTTCGATTCTGTGATCCCGTAGGTTCGTCCTTTCTGGAAGTTTTCAGCCTCCCGCATCCCGCCCCATGTGGTGTGAGAGGCCATTGTGCCTTTCGTGTATGGGTCATCGTGTCCTTACAGGGTTTGTTATGAGGTTCCGGAGTTTTCCTGGTTGGCAGACAGCCCTCTCTTCTCATTGGAGGCTTGGCATGCATTCTGTCCGTCTCGCACACTTGAATGGCGGGAAGCTCATTACAGTGTTGCAGGTTTTCCTGGGGGGGGGGGGGCGAATTTGAGGATCTCGATGCGAGTTTCTTCCCTCTTACCCTTCCTAGGGATGTTGGTGTGGTGCAGCTTCATGTGCAGGTTCTTTCCCTTTCAGCTGCATTGGTCGTGGAGGACTTGGGCACACGTGGCCTGTTGGCTTTGGCCTCGAGTTTCTTTTCCCTGCTCGAGCTGTCCTCGGAATAGCTTGAGGAGGACATGGAGGCGCTTGGGGTCGCCTCTGGGGTCTGGTGGGATGCCCTCGGCGGTGCATGTATAATCTGCATTGTTGACGCTGTTTGCTCTGATCTCACAGGATGAGGTTCTTCGCCCTTTTGTCCATTGCTGTTTGCAGAGTATGCGGTTGTTCAGTATCAGCAGGCAGCTTCATCTAGTTGTTTTCCTATGTCGGACTTGTTGGTTCTCCGGGGAGCTCGTAGGGGGGAGTTCCCAGAAGTGTCGTGTCAGGGCTCGGGGTTCCTCCCATCGTGGTAATTCAGTGGTGCATGATTCGGTGCCGGCGCATTCATTGGAACCGTCTGTTTCTAGTCAGCGTAGTGATCGATCCCTGTGCTGCCTTGGTTCTAGTGAGACGCGTCGGCCCTTTCGTGGTTTGTCCCATTGTTGGGGCGATGGGATTGGAGCCTCGCTCTGTTTTCTTGTGCCTGGATGCAAGATTAGCAGGCTTTTCGCGTTGTTTCGTGCGACATGCGGTGGCGTTGGGTGGCCCCTCCTCCATCAGGGGGATCGGGGTTGGTGGGGCAGGCCTCTTCTCCTGCGCTTCATCAGGTCATCTTAGAGAGGATTCGCTTGGGTGTGATCAAAACGATCTCGTCCCTCAGGTGGGTTTCCCGCCATTTTCAGGTTCCGAAACAGAACTGCGAAGACCTCAGGTCCCCTCTAAACCCGTAGGTTTATTGCCCCTGCTTTCGGATGACTACTGTCCCAGGTCGATCTTCTGTTGGAACCAGGCGCTTGGTGTCCCTGGACCTCAAGGACACTTATTGGCATATCCCGATTCATCCGGAGTTCAGGGACTGGCTCGGTTTTGTTATAGGGTGTCAGGGGTTACCGCTTTCATTGCCTTCCATTCGGCTTGAATCTGGCAACTCGCATTTTCACATGCCTTATCCGGGTCATGGCGGCCCGTCAGCATCTTTTAGGTGTTCGGATTGCGGCCTACCTCGACCACTGGCAGGTGTGGGCTCCCAGCCAGTCTGCATGTCTGCTCACCAGGGATCTGGTTCTGTCCCAGCTCATCAGGTTCGGGTTCCTGGTGAACTAGCGGAAGTTCCATCTGGTTCCCTCTCAGGTTCGGTCTCTGCTGCGTCTTGTGTGAGACACTCGGACCGCTTCCTTGTCTCTTCCTCCAGAGCCTCTGCTTCAGCTGTATTTCCGCCTTCACCTGTTTTTGATGGACTCCCGAGTCACGCCTCGGTTCCTCGAGAGTTTGT